CACAACCCTCTGATGCACCCGGCCTCGGCCGCGGGGGCCCCCATGGTCGCCACGCCGCCGGCCTACTCGGCCCAGTACGTCACCTACAGCCCCCAGCAGTTCCCCAGCCAGCCTCTGGTGCAGCACCTGCCCCATTACCAGTCTCAGGTACGGCCTCAGCCACACTGCCCCCCCCCGCACTGACTGAGCCCCCCCCCCCAGCCCAGAAAAAGGCTTCCCTGGAGGGTCCCTCGCGGCTGTGGGAGCCCCCAATGGAGGGGGGGACTGTGAGCAGCTTCTGGAGTCTATGGGGGGAGGGTCTGCTGTGTGTCCCCCCCACACTGCTCAGCCTCCATGCTGGGGGGGGGANGTGTCCTGTCTTTTCTCAACATTGGCCTCATGGACGAACCACGGGAACGTTACAACCCTGAGGGCATTTTCAGCTGGGAAACGTATCTTATCGGCATTTGGGGAAAGTCTCAATATTGGCAGAATAATTTTGGGGAAGTCTCGGTACAGACGGTTCTCCCCCTTATAGCCATTCATTCAGTGACCATTTCGAGTTAGGATGCGACTGAAAAAATGGGTCTTCTAACCGGTCCTTGCACTTACGACCGTTGCCCCATCCCCACGGCCGTGTGGTGGTGGGTTGCAGGCAGTACGCCCCGGTACGGGCTTACCGGAGTCTGCCCGGAGCATTGGATACCGTTCCGGTACAGTGCTCCGGAGAGACCACTCGCCCGCCCGAGCTCCTTACCGTTCTTAAGTCTTCAGCACTTCTGTGCATGGCCCGTACAGCGCCTGCGCGATGCTCCGCTGAGCAGCTGGAGCATTGCGGAGGCGTTAAGATGCATGCACTCGTGCTGCGCGTGTCCATGTGGATGCTGGCGGGCCCATTCTGACTGTACCAGTTGGAATGGGATCCGGAAGCCACCACTGGTGTGGATGGAATTGGGATGCCCCCAGGGGAATAACTGGCGTCTCTCCCCCCTCCCACAGGAGTTTCTCCGGCGGTTCTAGAACACAGAAAACAGATCGACGATTTGAAGAAATTCAAGAACGACTTTAGGGTAAAGACTCTGGCGGGTCCCCCCCACCCCCCCTGTCTGTAAGACCCAGGTTAAGAAATAAATCCATTTTCTCCCTCTCCCCCCTCTCTTTTTCTTCTCTCTTTCCACCCCCAGTTACAATCCAGTTCCAACCCTGAAATGGTGGAGCAGCTACTGAGTAAAAACCGGGAGGGCGAAAAAGTCCGGGAGGCCCCCAAGGAGAAGGTGGACCCCAGCCCTAAAGACTCGGCGGCCGAGCCGGGCAGCAGCGTGGCCCCCTTAGCCGGCGGGAGCAACGCCCAGAACAGCCCCAGTGTTTCGCCCGCCAGTAGCCTGGCCGAGCCGAAGGCTGCGCCGGAGGTGACCTCCCAGGGGGTGCAGACCTTGGGCCCCGGGGCCAAGCAGGAGAAGGAGGACAAGGACGAGAAGAAGGATGCCACCGAGTGAGTGAGGGGCATGGAATGGCTCTGACGAGCTTTGTGGGGGTGGGGGGTGTCTCTTCTGCCCAACTGAGCCTCTGGTGAAGGCTGGGACAGCAGGGGGAGGGGTGGTAGGTGCTTCGTTTGTCCACCAGGGGGCAGCCTGCCATTTGTGGACCGGAGGCCTCCAAGGCTGGATTCAGTTTCTCCTTTCTCTTTNGGAGAGGAAAAACGGCACTTGTGTTTTGAGTTTGTCCGGGAAAACGAAACCACTGTTCAAACGATGCTGGTTTGAAGAATAAAGTACACTTCTAAAGCCCCCCCACGTGCCCCCCCCGTTTCAGTCTCTGATCCGTCTTCGGAACATTCTGGATATTTGCCCCCCCCTCCTGCCCCAGCCGCTTCCCACTATCAGCATGTGTGAAGGTGGGAGACCCCAGACCCTCCCGGATGAAATGGCCTTGCAGGTCCCAAGGCTGATGGAGAAGGGCCCTCGGCCACCCTCCCGCCACTGGCGCCCCCCCCCCTTGTGCTTCTCTCCTGGCGGGAGACCATGGGTCTCCCTCCGTCCTCCTGCACACACACACACACACCCCAGAACAATCCCTTCCTCTCGGCGGCTTCAGCTGGGCCTGCAGGCCCCTTCCCCAGGCAGGAAGCGCCCGAGCGATTCTTCATCCATGAATAAGGCCTGTGTTTCCCTCCAGCTCCCATGGGCTCAGACACCCCCAATGCCAGCATCGATTCCCGGGAAGTGGGGGACACCCTCAGGCCGGCTCTTAGGGCAGGAGGAAGGCTGGGGGGGTGGGTGGGAGAGGGGGGAGCCCCCCCCCTTCCAACGACTCTCTGCCTAACTAAATTCTTGTATTTCGAGCGACGGAGTGGCTTTGGTTCCCGTGATTTTAACTTAAAAAAAAGAGAGAGATTACTCTTCCTCCTCACTTTTGTCCCTTTCTCTACAAAGAGGGTGCAGCTGATGCCAGAAATGGCAGAATCCCTGCGACCCACAGCAAGCAGGCAGGCCCCTTGCGAAGAGGGTCCAAGCTGTGGGTCCTCCTGGTTAGGAGAATCCCAAGACCCTTCTCTACCGGATTCCCCACCCACCCACCCAATTCAGCCATCCTCATCGCTCTGTTTACCACATTCATTGGCCGCTTATCTTAACTCCTCTGCGTTAAAAACTCCCCCACATCC